AAATACTTTATTTAATAAAGTTTATTAAAAGTTTCTGTTGCTTTTTTTATATTTTTTCTAAGTCCCTTAGCCTTTTCAACTTTTAAATATTTTTTATGCTTTTCAGTAATGTCCTTTGCTAATGAAAAAGAGCGTACTCTACAATATAATTGTATCATATTTTCTAATAAATTCTTTTTTAATTCTTTCTCCATAACTATTCCTGAAGCATCGCAATGATTATTATAATAGCTTAATATTTCTTCACTCTTCAATAATTCATTTGTAATTTTTGGAATGTCAATTTTTTTAATGCTATAAAAACTGGTTTTTATTCGAAAACATTCCTCGACTTTTATAAATATATTCTGCATATTTTTGTTAACAGCTGATAATCCTCCTCTGTTTTGCACATCAATTAACTTTTGTTTTATATCATTTGTTAGCATACTTTCTAGTAACAAGATAAGAGATTGATAGTTTTTAAAGTTTTTGCTATTTTTATATTTTTTTAAAAATTTTTTAACTACATAACCAGCTAAAAATTGTAAAGCATCCATTTCAGACTCTGTAATTGGGTAAACTTGAATGGGTTCTTTATTACCAAACTCTTTTACTTTTTTTGAATGTGATATTAGTTTATCCACAAATTTGGTTGCAAAAAGAGTGCAATAAGGCTTTTGCAATCCATAAAAGTAGGATTCTGCACCAAGAACAAAGTCTGCATATATTTTAGAAAAATATCTTTCTACATCGCCAGGCTTACAAAGTTCTATAAAATACTTTTTAGTTTCAGCATAAAACTGATCAGTTACAAATAAACTATAATTTTTAATAGGTTCCGTTAAGTCATTGGGATAATAGGATGTATTTAATATTTTTTTTTTGGTATGTGCAATTAATGAATCAATATCTTCAATGCCGATACAAGAAATTTCATCTTCATTGGTCATATGTTTTGATAGCATATGTCTTTTGAGACCTCCTTTAGTTTTATATGACTTTGAACATTGAAGACAAAGTTGATTAATTTGGTCAGAAATCTAAAGAAAAGTAACATAATATTCATTACATAATAAAGTAAATTAACTTAAGTAATTTTAACACACTTGATTAGTTTAAAACTATAAAAATACAAGATTTAAATTTATTTTTGTTATATGATTTTTACCTCTGAACCTGTGTCTTCAATTTCTATTTCAATTTCTTCATCAAAATCATCGCTATATAAGAAATCAACTAAGATTTCTACTGTATTTTGTTGAGAGTAACTTGAAGCGTTAGCCATTTAAATCTTTGTTTTGCAACTACATTGATCACGTGACTTTTTTTCAAAAACTCGGAAAACAAAAGAATAAAACAATAGCTTCCAGACCAGGGTATATTTCTATAGACTATGCTTTAATAACTATTTATTCACGTAATATAATCTTGTTATCCTTTGTACTGCTAACTTTACACTTCTTCGCATAACTTAAATATTTTTTATATTTGTTTATTGATGTAAAAAATATATATCCTATTTTTTGGCATGCGCTCATAATTATTTTTTTCATCACCCCCTTAACTATTACAAATTCCTTAAGGATTTCCTCTTATTCTGTGAAATGCACCTCATTCAACAGGACTGCCAATTCGATTGTTTACGTTTGACGTCAGAGCGACGTAAATTTGTGTCCGTTTCATAGTCTGTTATAGACTAAAAAAAATTCAAACAAACAAAAAGTCGCTATTATAAATTATATTATAATTTATAATATCGACTTACATTAGTCAATATCTAAATGTTGGATCTACGTTAAATAAACTTATATATTAAATAGTTAAAAGGATAGATTTCAAACCTATAAAGGTTTGAAGTGTATCACGTGTAAAAAGTGTAAAAATTTCAAAAAACATAAAATTTTATATCTTAAGTGATGCCAAACCATTGGCAATTGTTAATGGTTTGCTCAATATAAAAGCGAGTTTGACGTTACAATTTTTTTTTTCATTAAAAAAAAATTATTTCCGCCAAAAAGTATAAAAATGCACAAACTATAAAATAAGAGGGTTTTTTTTATAGACGCTTTCATCTTCAAATAAAAAATATATAAAAGGTCGATCGTCCTTACTATGTTATATAAATATTTGCATTAAATGGAAAAAAATTATATATTGTTAGAATATTATTATTAGTTAAAAAATTATTATTTTAGCAATATTTATATTCTTATTCCGTTTAATGAAACATTTTTTTTCCGTTTAATTTATATTGAGTGAAACTCAATAAAAAAAACTCAAAAAACTCAAAAGTCGTGTTATTCTTAAGTCATTTTAATATATACGTTTATTGAACGTCGATCCAACGTTTAGATAATGACTAATGCAAGTCGATATTCTAAACGTTTGATCGACGTTTAATAAACCTATATGCCAAAATATTTGAAATACCGATCAAAAATCAAGCGTCTATTTTAGGTCAATAATTGGTCGCTAAACGTTTTGTCAATTTATCGACCAATTTTGACTAAATATTGACCAATTCTAAACCAGTCTGTGTTTGCTGGGATATTACATAACAACATTTATTATATATATTTTTAAGTAAGAACATGAATTGATTCTGCGTATATGTTTTATTTTGAGTATTTTTTTATTTTGAAAGAATATAATATATTTTATGTCTAGTGTTTATTCTAACAGAATATATATATATATATAAATATATATATAAATATATATATATATATATATATATATATATATATATATATATATATATATATATATATATATATATATATATATATATATATATATATATATATATATGTATATATATATACATATATATATATATATATATATATATATATATATATATATATATATATATACATATATATATATATGTATATATATATATCATATATAATATATGTATACATATATATATATATCATATATAATATATGTATATATATCATATATAATATATGTATATGTATATATATATATATATATATATAGTCTTGCATGTCTCTTGCGTAGCATCAAAAAATATTTCCCATAAACTGTAGTTTTAAAGAGCGCGTTAATAAACCAGACCAGAAAAAGTTTTGAATATTAAATTTTTTTTTTTAATTGATAGACTGC